GTTCTGAGCTTGTGGCCATGTCAGTCTCTGTCCCCATCTTCATATTGCCTTCCCTTCGGTGTGTCTGCCGGATGGCCGCCCTCTTTTTTTTTTAAAATAAGTTTATTTATAAACTTAGAAAAGAGAAAGGAGAGAGAGAGGGGTACACCCCCAATGGCATCTTCATGATATGATCTACCTCCGGTCTCAGTGGCCGAGGTCATGGGCACATGTGTGTGATTGGTATCCTCAGGGAGGTCTCAAACACAAACCCAGGCCTTTCCCATGTGGGCTCACTCGTGTTAACCCTGTGCCATCACCTGGCCCCTCCTCCCTCTTTTAAGGATACATGTGATGACCCTTAGGATTCACACAATTCATCCAGCACAATCTCCCCTTTTATTTATTTATTTATTTTTTGCTATAGGGTGCTTGCAGAGAGAGACAGAGAGAAGGAAAGTGAGGTATCCCCCCCGGGGGGGCAGGGATGGCCACACTGCAGTTCCCTCTCCTCCATCCTCTCATCTCATTCTCTCAGGATTTTGGGCAGGCATGCACATGCACTGGGCATGTTTTTCAGGCAACGAGGTACAAGACTCAAACCAGAGAGTCAGTTTTGTAGAATTCAGCACCCTAGCCATCATGGCACCTGTTGGCCCAATCTCCCTATTTTAATGTCCTTCACTTGATCATGTTTGCAAAGACTGTTCCCAAATTAAATAGCATTATGTGTCCAAGGAAGTAAGATGTAGACCTGTCTTTGGGGGAACATTTTTCAGCCTCTGAACACTGGGCAGGCTGCATGGAAGTCCTGTGTAGAACCATCCACCCAAGGCTAAGGCTGAGCTGACTGGTGTGAGGGGGAGAGGCTGGAGGGGTTTCTTCTGGGATGTTTCCCAGAGTCTTCTTTCACATCATTGCCTTGGGAGAATGGGCCAGAGGAACAGCGAGAGGCAGGAGAAGCTGGGAGTGCGTTCGGCAATACTGCATTTACTCAGAAGTAGGAAAGTGCAAGAAGCACCACCCAAAGTAGCACCTGGTGTGTACAACTAAGCCTGGCCTATTGGAACTAAGCGCAGACTGTTACAATTATGATAATTGGATGGTTGTGACAATGACAGCCAACCTCATGCAAAGAGCCACCTGGACCGTCCTTTCCAGAGGGGTTTGCACTGCAGACATTTTCTAACCAATTACTGGAGTTTCATGGCAGGGATCTTGGAGGTATGAAATCCTGGTTGTGGTCTGGTTCAGCTGCGGGAGTATGGCCAGGGAGGGGGCTGGTGGTGACTGCTCCCTGTGGATCTCATCTGGGCATGAGGGAGGTGATCAGTTAGGGATCATCAGACTGTGAGGAAGGAGAAGAGTGAAGAGCAGAGAGGGGCTGTAGGTACCAGGTAGTGACAGCCAGGAAGGAGCTCAGCATGTCTGAACATGTGTTCAGAGGTGCAACATCAGATAGGTTCTTTTTTTTTTTTTTTAATTCCAGAGAATGTATTAGTTTCATAGAGCTGCTGTAACAATCACTATGAATTAACTAATTCACTCAGTTCTGGAGCCAGAAGTCTAAATCACCATATTGGCAGGACCACACTCCCTCCATAGCCTCTAGGGGAGAAGCCTTTGCTGTGTGTTCTGGCTTCTGGTGGTTGCCCGCGTCCCTTGCTGATGACTCTGTCACTCCAATCTCTCGTTCCCTCTTCCATGGCATTCTCTGTGGATTGGCGTGAAATTTCTCTCTGCCTGTTTCTATTTTATAAGGACACTCGTGAGGACATTTAAGGTCCACCTGGATAATCCAGGTTAATCTCATCTCAGAATCCTTCACTTAATCACATCTACTAAAGCCCTTTTTACCAAATAAAGACACATCTATACAATCCAGGATTAGGACTTAATATCTTTGGGTGGTCATTATTCAGCCTAATACTGGCAATTGAAGAACTAAATAAATTATCCTAACAGTAATTGTGTGCTGTGTTAAAAGCAGATCGTATTACTGCCAAGCTTTGTTTATTCATAGTACTTGTAAGATTTCATTGCCAAAGGGTGTAATTTTTAAAACATTGCAACACAGAGTCATGCAAAGATAGAATCTAATTGTGATTTTTAGCATCCTCTTTTTCTGCCTCCCAAGAGAATGGAGATGTATATATAATTTTTTTTTCATTTTTGCTGCTGTTTTGTCTTTTTTTGATATTGTTCAGGAATAAGTATGGTTTGTAAAGCTGTTGGTCTAGCTATCTCTCGAACTAGTTTGGGCCAAAGCACAGCCGAGTGTAACTGACTTCTGTGGGCTGAGCTGACTTGAACAGTGCATTCCCCAGCAGGGAAGCGTGTGCAGGCTGAGACCCCCCCCCACCCCTCCCCTTGATTTTCCCTTTGTTAGTCCTATCTGTGGATTAAAAGCCTGAATGTCCCTACTAAAACGAGACTCTGTTCTCCAAAAGAGATAGTAGATGAAGCTGCTTGCAGCTGTCTTTGCTTTGATGGTTCTGTCAGTTGCAACCTATTGGTCACTTGCTGCTAGTTGTGAAGGGGACATGGTCCCCTTGAATCTTACCACAGATGTGAAATGTATAACGGACATTGGGGAGGTGGGTTTAGGGGACTCTGTCTTAACCTCTGCAGGACTAGAGGGATTTGAGTGGGTGGAGGTGGCCATGGGAGCCCCTGGAGAGGAACAGCACCCAATTCCCAGGGAGCAAGGAGACTTGCTGGAGAGTGTGCTAAGAGTAGGGGAGGGAGTATGGTGAGGTTGAGAGATATTACTGTAGGCAGCAGTGAATCCCAAAGAGCTTCAGCAAGAAACCAGAGCCCCAGCCCACTGGTTTGGAGGGAGATGTGAGAGTGCATCCAGGAGTCAGAGTGGGCCTCAAGGGAGAGAATTAGGGCACTGAGTAGTCTAGACTACTGTTGACCATTAGTTCATTCATTCATTGGGAATTTGCCTTTGGTTGGGACTCTTTTTTCTTTTTTCTAAAGTATTTTTCCCTAGCTTTGAGGTTTAATCGACAGATTAAAATAGCATGGAATGGGAACCAGCAGCTAGCGTAATGGCTATGTCGCTGGACTCCCACGTAGTCGACCGCGGTTCGTGTCCCGGACCCGGTGGCTTAAAACTCACGCCGGGCGCGTGTGCGTGCGTGCCCAAGATCCCGAGAGGAGAATGGAGGCGAAGGGATTGCGGCGTGACCATCCCCCCTGGGGGGTGATTTCTCGCTTTCTGTCTCTATGTCTCTCTCTGTCTGTCTGGCGAGCGCACGCGCCCTGCAGTGAAAATCTCTCCAAAAAAAAAAAAAAAATAGCATGGATTTAGTGTTTGGAGTGATTTTTTAGTTTATTTCTTCCATGAGTGAGAGAGAGAGGGAGAGGGAGGTGGCACCCTCAATAGAGTCTTGATGCCGTAGGCTTGTGCCTTGATCATGGGCACACACATTTGTCTAGTGTACTCCGAGGTCTCCAGATACACACCTGGAACCTTCCTCTGTGGGTCAGCCTTGCAGAGCATTGTGATTGGTTGTCATGCCACTGCCTGGCCTCCAGTGTGATGTGTTGATATGTTTATTTCTGGTGAAATAGTTACCACAGTCAAGCTCATTAACCTATGCATCACTTCACATAATTATAATTTGTGTTTGTGGTGAGAATATTTAAGATCTGCGCTCTTGGTCATTTTGAAGTATACAACACACTATTATAAACTACAGTCATTAAATCTCAGGGTTTCATTTTTTTTGGTTTTCATATCATGAGCCATGTCCACAAAATAATATTTGAGCCCTTCACTGCAAGCATGTGTATGTTTACCTATGTATATCATTTATTTACCCGAATACTTGTACTTTTGAACCAATGTATTGAGTGCATTATGAAATAGGAGGTATCCTGTCTTTGTCCTGTGCCCAGTGGCTTGACACGTGTGTACACAAGTGTCCCCTAGAGAGTACTTCTGGGCACTGGAAGTCAAGGTTCTGCGTGAAGGAGGTGGCCAGCGTGGAGTGGGGAGCACAGACAGGCGCGGTTGGCAGCAGAAATTGACATCATGTCAGTGGCCAGTCACTTGAGAGGGGAAGTGATGTGGGGAAAGAACAGAGTGAAAACATGGTGTGTCTAGGACCTGAGATTGGAGGAGTAACTTCTCCCAAAGGAAAGCAACTGGGGTACACATTTGTTTGGAAAAGACAACTTTGCCTTCTCCTCCTTCCGCCTCCTTCCCGCTATCCTTCCCTCCCTCCTCCCTTTTATGATAGGCAGATTATATGGGAAATGGCCCAGGAGGAGTTTCCTGTGGGTAGTGAGAGGCCATCCTGGGGCAGCCAGGGAGGTTGAGACTGTAACCAAGGGAAAGGGGTCAACAGTGGAAAGAAGTCAGAGATGGCCTGGCCTGAGGGGCCTTGCAGAAAAGGGGGGGAGAGGGGAGGCCAGGGGTACAGCATCATGGAGCAGTACACCCCTCAGTTCGCTAGGCACTGAGTAGAAATAAAGATTAAGGGACTGCTTCCGAAAGGGGGGGCACTGGCAGACCTAGTCCTGGAGGGCTGATTGCCAGTCATGAGAGTGAGGAGAGCCTTTTGCTCGGGAAGAAATGGATATTTCAGTCCCTCTTCCCTGCAAATAACCAAGTTTGACATTAACCCTTTGCTGAGCCTTCCAGACAATCATTCAAGTTTGCTTAAGTAAATTCCATTCTCTTCCTTAATAATTGCTTGGTTATTTCCCCTAATGCTATTCAAGGGGACTTCAAAAAATGTGTGGGAAAGTGGGATTAATGTGTGAATGTATTTTGGTGCAAGATGTTTTTGAACATCACATATAGTTTTCCCATAATATGCATTTTCCACGAACTTTTTGAAGACCTTGGTCCCGCCTTTCTTTCTTTTCCTCAGTGCTGCTTTCAATAAAGTGATTCTCCTGCTGCAGAGAAGAAACTGTATATTTACCTCGGGTTCTTGTGGACAGTCAAAAGATCATCTCTGCCTACAGCATCTCATAGACCCATACTTTTGGTTTCTTCTTAGGTGGCCATAAAAGTCATCGATAAGAAGAGAGCTAAAAAAGACACTTATGTCACCAAAAACCTGAGGAGGGAGGGGCAGATCCAGCAGATGATCCGTCACCCCAACATCACGCAGCTCCTCGATATCTTAGAGACAGAAAACAGCTACTACCTGGTCATGGAGCTGTGCCCGGGGGGCAACCTGATGCACAAGATCTATGAGAAGAAGCGGCTGGAGGAGTCGGAGGCCCGCAGATACATCAGGCAGCTCATCTCAGCAGTGGAGCACCTGCACAGGGCGGGCGTGGTCCACAGGTAAGGGCCACAGCACCCTGATGATCGCTGCTGACGGCGCTGGGCCTCAGCATGGTCCTTGCAGAGCTGAGCAACTGCAGCCCGTGTTATGATTCGTCCATAGTTTTGCTCCATGGAGTTTTGTGAGTTGGGCTAATGCCAGGATGAGTTTTCAAAGAATAGAGTCTGAAGCCAGAGTATGTGGGCTTATGTCTCGGCTCTGCCCTTTAGTAGTTGTGTGACCTTGGACAAATTACTTATCGCTTCTGAACCTCAGTGTCTTCATCTGTAAAATGATAATAAAAATGATACTTTGTTCTCAGAACAATGAGCTAATATATGGAAAGAGCTTGAAATAGTGTTTGCTACATAGTAAGCACCAGATAAGTGCTGGTTACTTATCTTTTTTTTTTTTTTTTTAAGTTTTTTGCCATACGGCATATGTTCTTGCCAAATTGAGAGAGAGAGAGAGAGAGAGAGAGAGAGAGAGGAAAGGTAAGAGATCACTCCCCTGCCTCTTCCCCGGGGGGGATGGCCGCACTGCAGTTTATTCTCCTCTTGGGATTTTGGACACTCATGCACACACACATAGCATGATTTTCAAGCCATCGGATCCAGGACTCGAGCCTCGTCCAGCCACGTGGGAATCCAGCGCCTTAACCTCCATGCCACCTGCTGACCAGATATTCTTCTTTCTTAAGTTTACTAATTTATTTGTTTCATTTGTGAGAGAAACAGAGAAAGACAGGGCCTGAGAGACAATATCCCCAACAGGGACTTGACACTGCGATTCACCTCTACCCTGAGCCAGCCCTGGATCATGGGAACACGTGTGCCCAGGTACCCAGGGAGGTCTCTGGTTGAAAACCTGGAATCCTACAATGTGGGTCAGCCTCAGAGCATCATGTCACTGTTCAGTTCCGTCTTTGCAGAGTGACAAGATCTGCTGTTCCAGTAGCGGAGAGAAGAGTCGGTGTCGTGATCAGACTTTCTGGGCCACCCCCATGTCCTAGTGGTGAAGGAGCCAGCTATTTTTCAGCTAGTGCTCGGGCTGGTGCTTTCATTGCATTTGCTTTACGTATGGTAGCTGTTTTACTGTTTTATTTAGTTGCATTAACTCACTCTTTGAATTATGAACTTGCTCTTGAAATTGAGAGGTACTCCCCACAAGTCAAACCAACTTTGTAGGTAACAGTGAAAATAATTTTTTTTTTTTAAATAAATCAAGGTTTTTTTTTTTTTCCCAGCCTGTTCCTTCCTGGAGGGGGCTGCACAAAGAAGTGAATAGATACAGCGTTTTCAACAAAGTTGCCGTTGGTGGTAGGCGCCTGCTTTTAGTACTACATGAAAATAAAGTGAAATGAAGTCCCTCTTTTTCTCCCAAGAAAGTGTTGGCTGAACCAATAAATACATGATTTTTCCTTCATGGTATTATAATCAATAATTACTCTGGGTAGTTGAGCAAAATTAAAAATTATTTCTCATTTAAAAAGCACAATCAAAGCACGAAGTATGTGTAATATATATATATATATATATGTGTGTGTGTATATATATATATAGTGTGTGTGTGTGTGTGTGTGTACACATATGTTTAAATACTTTTAAATTGAGATGCAATTCACAAACCATAAAATTCACCATTTAAAAATGTATAATCCAGTAGATTTTAGTGTATTCAGAGTTGTACTGTTTAATTTTAGAATATTTTTATTACTCCCCAAACAAATCTTACACCCTTGAGCAATCACTCCTCATTTACTTCACCTGTTAGCCCCTGGCAGCTACTAAGCTACTTTCTGTCTATGGATTTGCCTATTCTGGACCTTTTATTACAAATAGAGCCACACCATGGTCTTTTATGATCGGCTTCTTTCACTTAGCTTAATATTTTTAAGAATCATCCTTGTTATAGCAAGTATCAGTACCTCTTTCTTGTTTATGACTGAGTAATATTCCACTGTGTGGATATACCACAACTTGGTGATCTATTCATCACCTGATGGACATTTGAGTTATTTTTCACTTTTTGGCTATTGTGAATAATGCACGTATGAGTGCTCATATACAGATTTTTGTGTGAACATATGTTCTCTTGAAAAATGTTCTTGGAATTTTCTCTTGAGAAATTCTACACTTAGAATAGCACAGCTGGGTTCATATGACAACTCTGTTTAACTCTCTGTTTTATAGAAACATGTGCAAGGGAATCTTCAAAGAGTTCATGGAAAGTGTTTTTTTAATAAAAAACTACATGGATGTCAAAATTTATTTACATCAGGGGGAACCAGCAGTTAGTGTAATGGCTATGTTGCTGGACTCCCACATAGTCGACTGCGGTTCGCGTCCTGGACCTGGTGGCTTAAAACTCACGCCGGGCGCGTGTGCATGCGTGCCCAAGATTCTGAGAGGAGAATAGAGAAGAGATTGCGGCGTGACCATCCCCCAGGGGGGTGATTTCTCGCTTTCTGTCTCTATGTCTCTCTCTGTCTGTCTGGTGAGTGCACGCGCCCTATAGCGAAAAAACCTCTCCAAAAAAAAAAAAAAATTATTTACATCAGGGACCAGCAGTTAGCGTAATGGCTATGTTGCTGGACTCCCATGTAGTTGACCGTGGTTTGAGTCCCGGACCTGGTGGCTTAAAACTTACGCCGGGCACGTGTGTGTGTGTGCCCAGGATCCCGAGAGGAAAATGGAGGAGAAGGGATTGCAGCATGGCCATCCCCCCTGGGTGATGATTTCTTGCTTTCTGTCTCTCTGTCGCTCTCTGTCTGTCTGGCGAGCGCACGCACCCTATAGCAAAAACCTCTCCAAAAAAAAAAAAATTATTTACATCAAAATAAACTATACTTTAATTCCATTTTTTTCCCAGAAACTTTTTGAAGTCTCCTTATATTTAAAAAAAACACACCATCCTATATTTTATCTCTCTGAAAGCTGTTCATTTTCTGATTAGTGAAGAAAGCAGTTCTAGGCCTTTGCTTTTAGAACTCCAAGAGTTTCTGGGCCACCCCCATGTCCTAGTGATTAAAGGAGCCAGAACCCACATGACCAACCACAGTTTGAATCCCACCCCTGATGCCTTGAAAACCACATCAGGCATGTGTGCATGCATGCCCAAAATTTTGACAAGAAGGAGACATGGAGGGGCTGGCAGGTGACTTGGCAGTTAAGGCGCTGGACTCCCACATGGCTGACTGTGGTTTCAAGTCCTGGACCTGGTGGCTTGCTTTCTCACTTTCCCTGTTTCTCTCTCTGTCTCTTTCTGGTCAAATTAAATAATAATAAATAAAGTAAAATAAATAATTCTTAAAAAGAAAAGGAGAAATGGATAAGCAGGGATTGCAGTGTGACCACATCCTGTAAGGGCAAGGGGTGCTTTCTCTCTTTCTCTCTATCTCTTTCTGGTGAATATATGCCCCCCTCAGGCAATTAAAAAATAAAAAAAAAGAACTCTGAGACTACTTTCAAGGCAGAGAGAACAGTCTTCTTAGGAGCGAGAATGGTACCCCAGGATGCTCTGCTGTTGCTCACCCAGGGACACCGCAGGGACTCCCCGTCGCTTGGGGCTTTCCCAGGGCCGGTCCTGGCCAGGCGCCGCTCATGCAGATGACTTCCTCCTTTTCGAGGTGAGAGCTCTTTGTGCACATATTTTTAGTGACACGCACATATAGTCATGAGATCACGCTTTGTTAGAACTCTTTGGGTTTAGATCAGCACGGAAGAAAACATTCAGAAATTTCAAGTGAATAGCGCTATTTTTGACAGTTTCCCTCACGTAGCCTGCGGTGTCATAGCTCTGCCATTAACGAGAAAATGACGGTCGTAAGTGTGCCTGGCTCTGTCTTTGTTCATTAGGTGACAAAGGCAGAAACCGCACGAATGAATCAGCTTGGATTACTGACTGCACAGGTCACAGCGGAAAAAGAACCAGGACTGCAAGTGGCGGAGCTTGCTGTGGGACTCGGAGTGTTTTTCTGAGGGTTTTGCACCGTTAAAAGTAAAATGAGCACCGCGCTTCTCAGGACTGCAAGGACAACAAAGGAAAATGCAGCGAAGCTGTGCTCACCAGTCTCTCCCGCAGGAAATTCTCAGCAACCCTTTTAAAGTAATTTTAACAAAATTCAATCCCTCTCAGTGCAATTACTGTCAGGATGTCAAAGGAATGAATTTAATAATGTTTTGATAGCAAAGACAGTACACTTTTTCTTCCTCTGATCTCTGGCTTTCTACTTTCTTTCTCCCTCTCCTTGAATATATATTCATAATCCCAGAATGGTGAGAGCTCAGATCTTTTAAAGGTGGGAAAAACTGGAAACATAGGTATTAGTTTGGAGGATTTCCTTGCCTTTCTCTCTAGGAATCATGTTAGTGACATAACACACACAGACAGGCGATCAGATGGTTAAAATTTTGTTTTGAATGTATTCATGGGTGGCTTTAATTGAATGCCTTGACTTTCTTTTCTTTTTTTTGGAGAGGTTTTGCATGCGCTCGCCAGACAGACAGAGGGAGACAGAGACGAAAGCGAGAAATCACCCTCCAGGGGGGATGACCACGCTGTAATCTCTTCTCCTCCATTCTCCTCTCGGGATCTTGGGCACGCATGCACACGTGCCCAGCGTGAGTTTAAGCCACCAGGTCCAGAACTCGAACTGCAGTCGAGCGACATAGGAGTCCAGCGACATAGCCATTACGCTAACTGCTGGTCCTGAATGTCTTGACTTCAGAGATTCTTATCACTGATTTTTAGCATTCGGAATTTGACGGCCGGTGGTATATTCTTCACTGTAGCCTTTTCCAGTAGTGGAGAATTTTCTCCTTTATGCTGCAAAGGTGGAATTGAATTTCATAAATTATTTCGAGGTTAGATTTTTCAACGGAATAAGACAGCATAGCATTTCAGAAAGGCATGGTGTCCCTGGTGGGAAGATTTTTGAGCATATAGATTGGATCATCCCAGAGGATTCAGGATGAATTTTTGTAGCTACCTGTGTAGAGTGGTTTAAAGGGTTTTTGGT